GCCTGCCCCTAGCCTGGAACCTCTCCTCACTCCCAGCCCCCCGGCCCACCCCCAGGACCTATCTATGTGTACACGTACTGGGACCACTCTCTCGCTGGCTCTCTCATCCTTCAGGCTCCCTCTCTATCACTGTGTCTCGTAGCACTCTGCTCTTTGCTTCAAACACGTATCTCGTGTCACACTATAGATGTTTTTGACTGTTGACTGGGTGGGTTCGAACTGCCCTCCCTTAGGTTAGTATGTTCTACTTTGGGTTTTTTTTTTTTTTTTTTTTTAAATTAATGCTTGTTTACCCTATTAGACTCTGTGGCCCAGGAAGGCAGGGACTGTGTCCATATTGACTCACCTTTGTATCCCTGGTACCTGCCTGGCCAAAAGCAGGCACTCAATCAATCATTGTTAAGCTACTGGATTAATTAATCAATGAAGAAACTCTCTCTCTTACAGAACTGTGAGCAAAATAAAGGGTGAATAGATAAAAAAAAATAAACGCATGTGCTCAGCTTGACAAACTGTAAGCTGCCTTGAACTGGGCCCCTTTCCCTCCCAGACCCTCTGTCCTGGAGCCTGCCTGAGCCCCTGAGGCCTCAGCTGAGGGTGATTCCTGCAGTGGGGGACGTGTGACCATGTTGCCCTGAGGACAAAGCACTGGGCTGGGAGCCTGACTTGTCCTTTGCCCTGGAGCAGGGCTCAGGCCTCGCATTTGGGAGAGGGGTGTGAAGGTTTGGTGGTGGTGGCTGGTCCGCCTGCTACCCTGAGGCTTATCCAGGTGGCTAGAGAGGCCCTGTGCAGCTCTGGCGGTGTGCTTTTCTCCTGAGGCTGCCCACATGGGGCTGGACAGGCCCAGGGTCCAGGCATCATCTCCTTGGAAGAAGTGGTCCTGGGACGGGCTCAGCCACAGCAGGCAGGGGCAACGACATTGGTGGTTGGGGAACATATCCCACCCTCCAGGCCAGGGAATTGGGCTGCAGCCAGAGCCAGGTGAGGGGCTCTGCCAGCCTCCTAGCCAGCCCAGGTAGGACCCAGTACTGAGGAGGCCTGGGCTCTGGCTGGGGCAGCCAGCCCTGGGAAGCTGACCCTTGGAGGCATGGAAGCCAAGCTGGCGGCTGGAAATATCAGCATCAGGCAGGCAGGACGAGACTCAGGGTGAGGCCCAGAGGCCTGAGTCATCTTCAGAGGGCCAGTGTGGCACAGTGGGGAGGAGGCGTCTGGTCTGAGGGTGGCAGGGCTCTCCTCACACCTCCAGACTAGCCCCAGAGCCCTGCCTCCTTGTTAAAGAGACTGGGGTGGGCTCCCTTCTGGGGTGCCAAGAATTCATCCTCTCCCTGTAAGAGCACTGAGTGCCGGCTAGGATGGGGAACCATCCAGGGCTCAGGAAGGGGCGGGAGAGGGAAAGCCCAGCCTCGGGGCCTCTGGCCTGTGACCAGGGACAGAGAGGTCCTTCTTCTGGAGTTTGATGGGTCCAGGTTGGAGTCTGGGCCGGCCCAGGGCTGAGCAATGTTTCATATAACCCTTGTCTTTTTGTACATCAAGAATAGAAGTAGTCTCCCACCTCCCCTGGCCTACGGCAGGGGACTCCCTGCTGGGGCCCTTGGTGAGTCAGGTTGTATCCTTGAGTTTAGTGGAGGCATCTTGGTCTAATGTTGCTGACCCCAGGAGGCCTGCCTCACAGGGAGATTGCTGCAGGGGAAGGGCTGCGTCTTCTCTGAAGTTCCTGTGAGAGCTCAGGGAAACAGAGGCTCTGGTAAGCCTCCACCGACACCCAGATCTAACGCCGTCCCACCTCCTGCACTGCTCTTACCTCCCCCTGCCCTCCTGCAGTCTCAGCACAGCGCCAGAGTGTGCCTTTCCAAAGATGCGTCAGGTCATGTCCTTCTCTGCTTAAAATCCTCCCCACTGCACTCTGAGCGAAAGCCAGAATTCTTAAAACGCACAAGGCTGACTTGATTTGGCCTTGACTTTTTACCCCTGTGGTGTCAACTCCATCACTCCAACCTCTCTGCTCTGGTGCCCTGGCCTCCTTGCTGTCCCTCAAACTTGGGGCACACCCACTCAAGCTCTGCCTGGAGCCCTCCTCCCCAGGTGTCACAAGACCCACTTATCTCTTCCAGGTTTGCTCAGAGCCCCTTCTTAGGGAGGGCTACCTGGCTTCTCAACCTAAAATTGTCAGCCTCTGACTCATGGTAACCTCATGCACAGCAAAACAAAACACTTCCCTGTCCTGCACTATCTCCATGATTGGCTGCTGATCTGATCTTTGTGATCCATGGAGTTTTCATTGGCTGATTTTTGGAAGGAGATCAGAGGTCTTTCTTCCTAGTCTGTCTTAGTCTACAAGCTCCGTTGAAACCTGTTCAGCATCATAGCAACATGCAAACCTCTACTGACAGACAGGTGGGAACTGAACCTACATGGAAGGTGAGGATTCTACCACTAAACCACCAATGCAATCCAAAATTACACCCCCGGTACTTCCTAGCCCCTCTCCCTGCTCTATTCTTCCTCCTTAGCACTTATCACCTTGTAACTGGCCTTACAGTCTGTGTATTTATCTTGTTTATTGTCTGTCCCCACACTAAAATTTAAGCTTTGTGTAGGAAGGGGTTTTAGCAATTTTTTTCATGTCTGGATCCACAGCATCTAGAACAGTGCCTGGGACATGGCAGGTGCTCATAAGTGCAAGCTCATCTCCTCAAGGCCAGGGATCTGTCTCAAGCCTTTTAGAAAATCACTTTATTTCCCACTTGTCCCAGCCCCAGTGCTAGCATGGTGCCCCTATAGTAAACCAGCTGCCAGGAAGTCGATTCCAGCTCATGGCAACCCCATGTGTGTCGGAGTAGGACTGTGCTCCACAGAGTTTTCAATGGCTGACCTTTTAGAAGTAGATCGGAAGGCCTTTCTTCCGAAGTGCCTCTGGGTTGACTCAAACCACCAACCTTTTGGTTAGCAGCTGAGCACATTAACCATTTGCATGACAACCTCATAATACTCACTGCTGAATCCTTAGGACTGGATCACATTTTTTGGAGTCCTCCCAGGATAAACCAAATGTCCTCACACTGAGTCATTATTATTCTGTGCTATGCTCATTTATAATTATTATCCTACATGTAATGATCCATTACTCCTACATAATTCCAACTGTAGTTGCTGGCCTTGTGCACCCCGAGCTGACCTGGGCTGTGCATGACACATTTCCATAGAAGCTGCCTCCGAGGGACATGAGCAGGTAGGCTTTGCCAAGTGGCCAAAGGTGCTCAGCAGATGCCTTCCTGTCCACTGGATTCACTTAAATTGCTTGTGGGGATAAGAACAGAAGTCCTGGAAGGGGTAACTGTGCTATCTGCAAGAATTTTCTAGTATTTCCTCTAGCCCATGGCTTGTCTAGATGAGTTTGGGTACTAGAGCTAAGAGGCTGAAAAGACACAAGAGGGTGTGGTGGAGCCAGGCCTTCCAAGGAGCCTCCTGGGCAGTCGCTCTCCACCCTGCACTCGAGCCTCCACTCTGCCAGCTCTCCTCAGGTGCGTCTGCCAGTCCTTCTGCCCTGACTCCCCAGCACCCACCCCACCAGTCTTGACTCCTGGCAGGCCCCTGCACAAGTCTCCTGCCTCTTGCTGCTCCCTGCACACATTGGACGCTTGCATTTCTTTGCTCAGGTGCTGGCAATGCCCCCACTCACATCAGGGCAGGGGACACCGGCCACATCTTTGTAATAGTCCTGAGACCCTGAAGAGGAGACACTAGCAGCTGACCTGAGAGCCAACCTTGGGGAGAAGTCGCTGTACCCAGCCTTCAGAGGCTAGATGCTGCCTTTTGACTCAACCGCTCCCAACTATTCCTTTCTCACTGTCATTGAGTTGATTCCAACTCATAGCGACCCCATTGGGTTCCAAGGCTGTGAATCTCTACGGAAGCAGACTACCATATTTTCCTCCTGAGGAGCCACTGGTGATTTCGAACTGCCGACCTTTCAGTTAGCAGCCTACCGCTTTAACCACTACGCCACCAGGGCTCCTTAACTAAGAGCCAACATTGGTCAACTGATTTTCAATCAAACAAAGGTTTGCTGGGCAGGAGGAAGCAATGTGAGGGCAAGGCAGGAACTAAACCTCAAAGGAACTCAGGGTATCAGCACCTATAGCCATCCCACAACCCATGATAGTGTCCCTCCCCAGAATTGTCCCCTCCCGTCCCTTCTGTCTTTCCGTCTGAAGCAGAGGAAGCAGAAAGGTGGGAATCAGAAAGATCACACCTCCAGCTGAAATAAACATTTGTCAAGGTTGAATAGTTGCCTCCATAAACAACTGCCTCCTTTGCCATGAGACCAAAAGAACTGGATGGTGCCTGGCTACCATTACTGAACATTTTGATCAAGGATTCTTTTGAACAATCCTTGATCAAAGGGGGAAAATGCAGAATAGAATTTCAAATTCTCATGGACTCCAGACTTTCTGCAGCCACTGAAGCTGAATGAGCCCCCAAAACTATTGCCCTGAGGTAATCTTTAAGCTTTAAACCTTAAACAAACACTATCCCCTGAAGTCTTCTTCAAAGCAAAAAATAGCGTATTTTTATTAGTAAAGTACATATGCTTTGAGCATCGTGCTTTTCAAAGAATTATCTGTGTGAGATCAAATTGACAACAGCAACTTGAAAGGCTGGATGGGAAGCTTAGGACGTAGTGAGTTTAAGATAATGGTGGTAGAATAATGTGGAAAAGATAGTGAGAATGGCAGCACAATTTAAAGAACGTAACCAATGTCACTGAATTGTATGCGTAGAAATTGTTGAAATGGTTTATCTTTGGCTGTGTACACTTTCACCAAAATAAAAAAATTAAAAGAATGCCGTGGCACCCCAGGACTTTCCAAGCAAGAGATAAAGCAGCATTCCATGCAGAGATGAAACACCTTAAGCCACTGCCCACAGCTTTAGCCCATCAAAAACACAATCACAGAGACAAGCAACAAGGAAATTAGCTAGAAGAGTTGCCAAAACACCTTTTTTCCCTCTTTTTCCATTTGCTCCTTTTTCGCCTTTTGGACCCTGGGGACCAGGCTGTCCATCTGATCCATTGTGTCCTGGTATGCCATCAGCTCCTGGAGGTCCTGTGTCAAAACACGAAGCGGACATTTTCAAACTAGTCACTGAAGTTAGTGTGATTTGCAGGCACTAGATGCCTTTTCCTCTCTTGCTTCTTCCCTTCCTTCTCCACCTTTGCTGCCCCCCACCCCCCATCCCAGCTGTGACAGTTGGTGGGGATGGTGATGAAGTCTCTCAGAGTGGTAGGGGGCAGGAGAACTTGTGATTGGGGTGGGGGGGGGCACAGTCGGGGCTGCCTCCAGATTCCTCCTCCTTCTCACTTCTGTCCTTTCTGGGGGACCTGGGGTATAGTCACCCCTATCCTCCCCATGAAACTGGAAAGTCCATGGGCGCTTACCTGGTGGGCCAGGTGGTCCTACAATCGAAAAAGAAATTTAGATGGTAAACCACAGGTAGAAGAAAGAAAAACCAGCATCACAACCTCCCAAAACCCAAAGAATACCCCTTCTTAAAATATACGAATCACCTAGTGACACCTTTTATTTAAAACTCATCACATTTGCCTGACAAGGAGCTCTGGTGGTGCAAAAGTGCTGGGCTGCTAATCAAAAGGTTGGCAGTTCAAACCCACACAGCAGCTCTGAGGGAGAAAAATCTGGTGATCTGTTCCCATAAAGAGTACATCCTAGAAAAGCCTATGGGGCAGTTCTACTCTGTCACATGGGATCGCTATGAGTCGGAATCTATTCAATGGCGCCCAAAACACATTTGCCTAAGAGATCCTTAAAAGCAATTCAACAAAGACCCATTTGCCAATCAAAACCATTTTCCCTGAAGTTTCAATGGGAGAAAAATTTCCAAGTTAGCTTCACTATGGATTAACAGATTTGTCATCTCTAGAGCAATGGGCTTAATTAAATGAGGTTCAGTGAGAAGACACAGGACCCCCTGAGGGCAGCACCTGGCACAGGTAAGTGTCGGCAAACGGTAGTGTCATCCGTCATTCAAGGGTGAGACTTGACACTCAGAGAGCTCTCGCAGTGCTCTCATCCACCAGCTTGTCTCCTCAGGGCTGCCATGGGGAGCTGAGAGCAAAGCTGGTGCTCTGGGTCTCTATTTCACTACATGAAGTAGCCTGAGAAAAACTGAGGGCCTAGATCAGGTAACAAATACCTTCCTTATGTGTAATTACCAGAGGATCTAAGGAGTTCAGAGGAATCATTTACACATAATCTGACAAAACAATTTTGCTTCCACAAACTGGTGTCTCTCATTGTGAACTATTCTATTTGAGCACTCAGACAAGCTAATGAGGCTGTACGATGAGCCTCATGTACCATGAGTGTTTCTCCAGACCACATATACCAATTATCAGTATTGGAGTGGAAAGGTTTTCCCATAAATCCAAGCCCGTGACCAGTCAGAAAACAAACATTTACTAAGCACTTACTATGTGTGCCAAACTCTCCTTGTGTGGGCCACACAAAGAAGCAGAAATCTTGGTTCCTGCATCAAGTGTGTTTACAATCTATTTGGGAAAGGCAGACACTTTGAAACCACAATGAAATATGGGGGTGCTAAAACCAGTTGCCACTGAGTCAATACTTACTTACAGTGACCCCATGTGTATCAAAGTAGAACTGAGCCTTGTAGGGTTTTCAATGGCTGACTTTCAGGCGTTTCTTCCATGGTGCCTCAAGGTGGACTCAAACAGCCAACCTTCTGGTTAGCAGCCAAGCCCATTAACTGTACCACTTGAAGGAGTTACAGAGAAGTAATCCCTTCCAGGAGGTCTGGGGAGCTCTGAGCACGTGCAGACTGAGGAATCTTTGTAAGAAGGTGAGCTTGAGCTGTGGCACTGAAGAAAGAATGGCCCTAAGGTGACCGCAGGGGTCAAGGTCAGAGATTCTATGCAGGGGATTAGCAGGAAAAAAGTACTGAGGTGGGAACTTGTAAGAGCCTTGGGAGAAAGGAAGAGAAGACTGGTCAGGCTGGAGTGTGTAGTGATGAGGTCAAATAAGTACTTGGGTAGGATGGGGGTAGGGTAGAGGCACTTGAATGCCAAGTCCAGAGGTTTAGAGAATATCTGTGAGGCGGTAGGAGCTACGGTAGATTCTTAAGCAGGAGAATGATACCATGGAATGGAATCTGTGTTTGCTTGAGATCCTCTTGGTATTTGCAAGTTGAATAGAAATAGGTGGAAAGGAGGGACAGAAAGAGAGAGAACCAAGACAATCTTCTAGTAAAAATCAGGGATAAAGTTGTGGACAAATGTGGTGTCTGTAGAGTTGAAGAGGAAGCTAGAAATTCAAGAGGTATTTCAGCAGAAGAATGAGCAGGACTCTGTGTATGATTGCGTAGGAGGCAAAGAGGAAAGCCTCTCAGATGACTGGGAGCCTAGGACACCGGAGAGAAGTTACCCTAATAGTCATGGGGACCCTTAGAAGAAGTGGTGTTTGGGGGTATGTTTTCAATACATCCAGTTCTTCTTTGGGCAAAAATGATTTGCTGAAAATGGTATCACAATTTCTAGCGTCAGTATAATCTGTGGCTACATGATTTTACCACTAGATGGCGAGCGTGCACTGGTAAGGGGTGATGTGGACAGCTGACAGAGGTCAGAAGAAATCTATGATCATTCCCAACCACAGATGGAGTCAAATTCAGATGAGCAGATTGGTAGAAGGAAGGTAAACAAGCTGGATTCAGAAGATGTAGAATGAGGAGTATCATTGCTGATGTCAGAAGGATCTTGGCTGAAAGCAAAGCAGACTATACAAGAAAGATGTTTGCCTGTGTTTTATTGACTATACAAAGGCATTTGACTGTGTGGATCACAACAAATTATAGCACTGAGAAGAATGGGAATTCCAGAACACTTAATTGTGCTCATTCAGAACCTGTACCTAGACCAAGAGGCAGTCGTTCAAACAGAACAAGGGGATACTGTGTGGTTTAAAATCAGGAAAGGTGTGCGTTAGCGTTGTATCATTTCACCATACCTATTCAATCTATATGATGAGCAAATAATCTGAGAAACTGGACTATATGAAGAAGAATGTGGCATCAAGATTGGAGGAAGACTCATTAACAACCTGCCATCTTCAGATGACACAACCTTGCTTGTTGAAAGTGAAGAGGACTTGAAGCACTTACTGATGAAGATCAAAGACTGTAGTCTTCAGTATGGATTACACTTCAACATAAAGAAAACAAAAATCCTCACAACTGGACCAATAAGTAACATCACGATAAACGGAGAAAATATTGAAGTTGTCAAGTTGTTTATTTGGATCCACAATCAATACCCATGGAAGCAGAAGTCAAAAAATCAAACAATGTATTGCATTGGGCAAATCTGCTGCGAAAGACCTCTTTAAATTAAGTGTTAAAAAGCAAAGATGTCACTTTGAGGACTAAGGTGTGCCTGACCCAAGCCATGGTGTTCTCAATTGCCTCATATGCGTATGAAAGCTGGACAATGAATAAGGAAGACCAAAGAATTCATGACTTTGAATTATGGTGTTGGCAAAAAATATTGAATATACCATGGACTGCCAGAAGAATGAACAAATCTGTCTTGGAAGAGGTACAGACAGAATGCTCCTTAGAAGCAAGGATGGTAAGTCTTTGTCTCATGTACTTTGGACATGTTTTCAGGAGATCCCTGGAGAAGTGCATTATGCTTGGTAAAGTAGAGGGTCTTTTAAAGAGAGGAAGACCCTCAATGAGATAAGGACTGACACAGTGGCTGCGATGATGGGTTCAAGCATAGCAATGATTGTGAGGATGGTGCAAGACTGGGCAGTGTTTCATTTTGTTGTGCAAAGGGTCGTTATGAGTCAGAACTGACTCGATGGCACCTAACAACAACAACAACAGCAGGTTTCAAAGGAGCCCTGGTGGCACAAAATGGTTAAGCACTCTGTTGCTATAAGAAAAATTGGTGTTTCAAACTCACACATTGGCTCTGTGGGAGAAAACCCTATGGGGCAGTTCTACTCTGTCACATAGGGTCACTATGAGTTGGAATTGACTCAATGGCACACAACAACGACAATAGATTTCGAGTGTTCCATGCAGCTGGACTATTGCTGAGGGCCTGGCTGGAGCTGTATATTTAGGACACATTAGCTATGGTCAAGGGTCTTCACTATGGTGAGTCACAGGGTGGGGCCCCTGGCCCCTGTAAGGGTCTACACAACCCTTGAGTATCGCGTATCTGAGGGAGCACATTAAATAGCAAATAAAAAACACAAACACCATGGCAGGTTGAGAGAGAGATCGTGGAGGAAAGAAAAGTTTTTCCTTTTTTGAACAAGGGACCTGCATTTTCGTTTTTCACTAGGCCCTGCAAATTATGTAGCTAGTTCTGCTATGCCCACCCCACGCTCTTAACCAGAGTTGATTAGAATTGGATAGATATTTGATAAGAGCTGAGCCAATGGGGGGTTTATTCTCCTCGAAATCTAAAACTGGCCACAGTGACCCCCGTTGTGTAAACTAGAGGCCTGTGGCTGGCTATGGCCGTGAAGGAGTAAACAAAGAAGCCAGTCTGCAGAGAGAAGAACAAAGTAAGAGAAGCAGAGACAAGAGATGAGTGTCCCCAGAGAGTCAGGAAGATGGAGAAGAGCTTGCTGGTTTCTGACGCCTTTCCAGTTCCTGGTTCTGTCCCTCCGAGGCCTGCTGCAAGCCCTGCCCTCTGGTTCTGAGATACTCTTGCGGTGAGGGCAGGCCTTGCGTTCACCAAACTCAGTTTCATTTTCCTCTTCATGGACCCTGCTGTGGTAAAGAATTTAGCTTTACCCAAAGAATTTGTTCTTTGTTGGTTCCTGAAAGATAACCTCTAAAACCATGATATTTCCCAAGTGATTGAAGTGGCTTTGATGAGACCTCCAGACCACATCTGCCAGAAAGATCACCTCAGAATATCAGCCAACCTCAGTGGGGGGTATGATTCAATCGTGTCTACATAATGAGGCCCCAATAATGGCTTCCTCATTGGTGACATAGGGGATGTTGTTGTTAGGTGCCATCGAGCCGATTACAACTCATAGTGACCCCATGATGTGACAGAGTAGAACTGTCCCATAGGGTTTTCTTTGCTGAAATCCTTATAGAAGCAGATTGCTAGGTCTTTCTCTTAGGTGGGTTCAAACTGGCAACCTTTTAGTTAGCAGCTGAGCACTTAATCATTGCACCACTAGGGCTCCATGACATAGAAGATAGTGCGTCCTTTTTTGGTGTCACAGAAGCTCCAAGTTAGGCACCCTCCTCGACCTCGGCCCATGCATCTCGTCATTTGTTTCCTTTTTGCTGTAATAGAACTGTAATTGTAAGTATGGCACTTTCCGTGAGTTCTGAGTCATGCCAGCATATTATTGAAACTGAGGGAGAATTGGGAGCCAGCAGGGC